CATCAAATTCTGTAACCCAGACTATTAGATATCAATCCGAAAAAGATATGTTACAAGACCAATACTGTTTATGTGAAATTCTAAGCCTAATTAAATCGAAGCATTGTTAATTTGTTATACGTATCATCAAGCTTTAAAAGTCGGTTGTTTAAATGTTGAATCATCAAAATATTCAAGTCAATGAAATGTCAACTTAACTGGTCCGTATAACTCGCCATTTAGGCATCTGATTAAGTGACATAACTTCCGTTAGAAACTTAAATATATAATAATAACTAGGGGGTGCTCATCTTTCGGGTGGATTACTGTATTTTTTTGTTTAACGATTCTATATTAAATACAGTGCGGACTATTATTTCATTTTTTGTGCGAGTTATTATTTCATTTTCCTGTTAATTTATCTTTTTATATGTTGTTGTTATTTTGTGTGTTAATATTATAGTTATGTTTTAGTTTTTATAGGGTTTGACATAATTCTTGATTATTTTATCGTATTATATATATATATATATATATATTTGTTTTTTTTTTGTTTAATGTGTTTTCCGCATTTTCACATAAGACCATTTTTTAAATTGATATTTTTAATTTTTCGAATTTTTCATGTATTGTTCTTATTATCTTTTTCAGACATATCTATTAAATGAAAATTCTTCTTCCCATCTCATTTCATCCCGATTTATCTGTTTATGCTTGAAAAATTTGGGAATTTTTGTTCTTATCTCATTCCCATTTAATCCTATCTCATGATTTCTCGTTTGTCTTTCCTACTTTTTGATTTTCTTATTTGATATCGTTTTTGATATTTTATGTATGTGTATTTTTTTATATTTTTTGCTTTTTCTGTCTTTTTTTGTTTTTTATCGTTTGAAAATGTTTTATTTTTTTTTGTTTAATGTGTTTTCGGCATTTTCACATAAGACCATTTTTTAAATTGATATTTTTAATTTTCCGAATTTTTCATGTATTGTTCTTATTATCTATTTCAGACATATCTATAAAATGAAAATTCTTCCTTCCATCTCATTCCATTCCGATTTATCTGTTTATGCTTGGAAAATTTGGGAATTTTTGTTTTTATCTCATTCTCATTTAATCCTATCATGATTTCCTGTTTTTCTTTCCTACGTTTGATGTGCTTATTTGATATCGTTTTTGATATTTTATATATGTGTACTTTTTATATTTTTTGCTTTTTCTGTATTTTTTTTGTTTTTATCGTTTGCAAATGTTTTTTATATAAATTCACTTCGTTAGTACAATAAAATCTTTATGAAATATATTGTTAATTGTTTGGATTTAAGTATATATATAAGTTTGGATAATGAGATTAAGAAGATTGATTTAAAATGTGATGGGTGTTAAAATGAGATTTTGGTTTTTAGTGGACAAATATAAATAGAACCATAAATAGAGACTGATTTGAATAAAAATGAAAGAAATATTGATGAGGTGGCAGCACCAGAATAAAGAAAAGCTAACTTTATATATATAGATTTCAAACAAATTTTTAAAAATGAAAAATAAAATATTTAAAGCTGAAGTAAAAAAAAAAAAAAATAGCAACCTAAGCAGCAAGCCAGCAACGCTAAGTAAGGTCGGTTCTATAGAAGAGTCGCATGTGTTGAGAAGCACAAAACACTTTAATTTCTTTGATAAAACTCTTTTAAGGTCCAAAATTTTTCGCAAAATGAATACCGCAGTGCTTTGATTAGTATAACATATGTTATGTATACAACGCATGTATCGAATATATATGTGTGCACACTGCCCTGTGCACCCATGTCTCTACGCAAGTATGTAGTGAGAAATAGAAGTAGAGTATGTGTGTACTCCAATTCACAAGATTGACTAATTATTTGACACTATAGTGAATCGTTATCCATCCATTTCCCAAAAAAAAAAAAAGGACGTGACGGTTTTCTTTTAATAGTGAAATCATGTCTGTCATGATTAAGAAATGAAAAAGATATGTCTGATTTGTTCTTAAATTTCCTTGAGGTAAAACGATATAGATAAATACTGACGTGGATGGATTAATTCCGCTAGAAACAGACGACTTATGAAGTCACCTTTTTTTGCATCACATTTTTTTTTTTTTTTTTTTTGGCGAAGCTTAGAAGGTAATTGTTTTGCATCACATTTGATCTATCAAAAAGAAAAAAAAAATCTTGTCGATCACATTAATTAGCAATAAGCAATATTAGCTGTCCGATTTGTTTCCATATAACAAAGAAACAAAGCTGAATTTTATATTTTAGTTACCTGAATACCGATACAAGTTTCATTAAATTTTAATAGATGTGAGAAAAACAAACGCGGAACCAATGACCTACTTTTATGTGATTTCTAAATGTAAAACCAAAAACCAAATTTATGTTTATGTTGGCTATCCTATATCAACAGATCAAAAACCTACTTATTGATAAAGATCGAAATTTCATGACACAACGGAGATTCAAGAAAACAAGATAATTTATAGAATTTTTTTTAGTAACCTTAATTTAAATGAACTCGCAAATAAAAGCAGAAAAATATAACTTAAGCTAAATTTGAAATTTCATATAAAAACTTTCTATACCATCAGGTGGGGAGGCGCATTGTCTCTGGACTCACTGACTCGCTATCGGACAGCGAGACTTCGTGCTAATGCAAGAAACAAATATCAAATCTAAAGAAAATTAATACTCTGTATTAGTCATTTTCGAGATAAACATTATGAGTAAATTTTCAAAAATTATTACAAACTAAAAAAGAGAAATTAAACTTCCAAATAGTTTCGGAAAAACTGAAGCAGGATAATGGAGATTACAACATGGCTATTAGAAGCCCAAACAACACAAGCCTTAATCAACAGGTTGATCAAGCCATTAGGGAAAGTAAAAATAACAAAGCTGAAGAGAAGAGATAACGACGAAAATAGAAACATTACCAACAAAACTTCGAAAGACCACCTTCGAAAAGGAAAGCTTCCTTAACCAATTGACAGCTCCAGACAAATTCACCATGAAATATACATTTCTCAACGGTCGCAAAGACCAACAAATCAGCTTCAAAGATAGCTGAATAAGAGAAGGGCTGGCTTTGAGATTCCACGACAAGCAGAAACATCTTCACCATAAAGCTCCCAATCACAGAACCACACAGAACAAGTGAAAGTTTAGAGAGAAATACTGGCTCCATAAAGCAGAACGCATAGGTGGAATAGTCTAAAAGAATTCGATACTCAAGGATAGTGCTAAACTGAAGATTATTTATTCCTAACCAAGAGGAAGCAGGAAACAATCTCGACGAATCAGTAACTACTAGATATGAGGCCTCACAGAGAGGTAAAAGAGGTTTACGATAGAGCATAACATGCTCATTAGGAGGTAACAAGAGACTCATCCTACCAGACAAAGACATTTTACCTCTCATACAAGAAAAAGGCCTTTAATAGCACCTGAATAACGCTATCTAACGATATCATAGCGTTTTAATAAACATTTTATTTGCGCCCGTCATAATAGGTCAGACACTTTAGATAGCGTTTTTTGATACGCTATCGTAGTTTCATATACAATAGCATTTTTCTGAATGCAATTAAATATTTTATAATAGTGTATGTGTTTTGTTATCATTGATATTATTAACAGCGTTTCGTAATTGTTATGTTAATTAATACTATAGCATTTAGAAAAACGTAATGATTAATATGCATTATATTTGTAATTGAATATAATTCGATATATATTCAATTCTGTTATATCCTGTTATATTGATAATATCAAAATACTTTATTAATACTAAACATAATATAACTGTCACAACAAAGTCAACACAAGCTTTAATTCGACATATTATTAGAGTCACTACAATAAGAAGTCTAAAGTACATAAACCCAAATGTTTCACACTTGTCTCTCTCACATGAATATTATCTTGTCATTAGGACATGCCAATGTAGTTCCTACTGCATCAGCGATGCATTGGACTTCAGAATTTGCTCTCAACACTGGTGCTTCAATAAATTTCGAAATCTCTACCCAGACCTTCGTAGCATTGGGACCTAAAGGGACAAAATGGACCATCTCGGTTGGATCTGTTGAAAACCCACGACCTAATGCAACTCTTGCCCCAGAATTGTCAATATCTAACAGAACGCACTTCTGTTTAACACCTTTTCCGCTATTACCAGTGCTGGGACTACCACTCTAAAACCAAAATTACAAAAGCTTTCAGTCTAACATCACGGCAACATCAACACAACCAAGTCAACAAATAGATATTCTCAAACTCATTCCATTCGCTAAGTACCATAATTTCTATTCGCTAAGTAACATAATTACTATCAACACAACCAAATCAACAAATAGTTGGAAAAACTGACCTCTGGTGATTTTTTGTTTGATTCATCCGTTGTAGATGGATCTGGTAGGTGTAACCTACCAATAGGCCATGCGATAGTCTGATTTAGTGCATCACCCATCAATGAGATTGCATGGCTTGGTCTCCATAAATAAGCTCCAGGTTTAACCACCATATCGACCTTAACAACTGCAGCATTTGGTCCTAGCGGAGTTTCGTTCACCAATTCTTAAGGGTCAGTTGACAACAACCTACCCTGAGCAATTAATTCATCACCTCCAGTCCAATACTTATATATTTGAACTCTTCCCACTGATCCATCCGTTTGCTAATGATTTATTTTGCATAAATATTTGTATTAGTTAAAGTGATCTGTATGAATTTAGATGAACACAAACGCAGGAGTAATTTACCTCTGATCCGACAGTATCTGGAGGTTGGGTTAAGTCATCATCCTCGTCCAATATTATCTTATCACAGGGCCATGCTATTTTAACTCCTACCGCCTGTTTAAGCGTAACAATGGTTGGAGTAGGTCGCCAGACAGATGCATCTACGACTGATGTGGAAGTCACCATTACAACAGCTGCATTTGGGCCTAATGGAATTTGACTAATCTTATATGTTGGTTCATTGGAGCAAAATTCTCCTTCAGCAACAACCACCTCCTCATCTGAATACCAATCCAGTAGCTGGCACCTAATGCCTCCTTTGCTAACATCTCTTATATCAGACTTGGAGACATTATCAGTCTGTTGATAAAGAGGACAATAAAACCATAAAATATAAGTTGGCATCGTTAAACATAAAAGTTTAGATTGTCAATTAACAAGTTTTTTTATATAAAAAAATGTACCTTTTTACTTGTTATTTCACTAACCACATTCTGCAAATACTCAACCTTGCTAACTAATTCTGCTTGAGTAGCTTCAAGCTTCTGAACATGTGAGTCTCTAGCCTGCAAGTAGGCCAACTTGGTAACAGTAGCGCCTCTACCCATCCCCCTAATTCTTCCTGGTCTATCTTTTCCTAGTACCTGACTCACAGCATCTTCCTTAACATTATCCGTGGATGATGAGTCCATTTCACTATCAATTATCTTAATCCTTTCCTAAAATAAAAGTTAATACATAATGTGTCGCAAGTACTGACTTAAACACAAACCGTAATAAGAATTTAAGTTTAACTTACAATAGTTTCCGAAAATTCTTCCCTCACAGGTCTCCCATCAGAATGAGTATGTCCTGCTAGCCACACCTTGCTTCTAGTAACTTTCCTAGGGTCAGAACTAATTTTTTTCTACAAGTGCATGTAAATCCTTGTCAAATAAATCCACTACCAATACAACTAACTAATTTAAGACACGCACAGACATACATACCATATCATGAGCTAAACGAGTCATTCCTTTACGGCTGGTAGTATGAGGAATTTGACCCTTCCTCAATTGCTTGAATTTTTCACTTTGTTCCTATTGACACAAACGGTTAGATTACATGTATAACTACTGTCATAAATGTATCTTATCAATAATCAATCGACACTAAAACTAACCTCAGCAGCTGTGCTATTCCTATTTTTCACCCAACTGTTCCAAGCTGATGCACATTGGATGTTGCTAGGCTTTAGTTGCTGTAGTGCAACCTTACTTTTAGTGGATCAAACTTTGGAAGCAAGCCGAGACTTAGAAGCCCTCCACAAATCACCCATCTGCCTGAAGACAACGTCCTTTTACCAATCTTCTTTCAAATTGAACCTCCTCTGTCAAACATTGCCAAGTTAAAACTACAAGAAAAAATTACTTTGATAATTAAACGTTTAGTACAACAAAAGGCCAACATTATCTGAATTTCTTCCCACATTATGTCTTTTATATTGTCATCAAGATGTCTCCAGTTATCTAGCAGTACTGGAACATGCTCTCTCACAAGAGGACCAAGGAAGGATGCGAGTGTCACTGATCCCGAACCAACATGCTCACCTAGTGAATTGAATTCTACTTGAACCTTATCGTCCACACTCTTCCCCACTTTTCGCATTCTCGTTGGACCTCTTGACTTCCTCTTTTTGTTATCTGATTGTTGCGTCGGTGATTCAGACGCATTGGACCACGCTTCTAGTAGTAGGGGGAATGGGTTCGTCTTGTAGACCAGGGGATTGTTCTTCTACTGATTCGTCATCCACTTGATCTTTTTCTATCTTCCTCTACATTCTCGGGTGGAACATCCTTTTTTTTTTCTTCTGATTCAGTGACACTACAGGGCTCACATCAAGGCCTGCTTGACGCTTACTGCGACAGATGTCGGTAACACCTACAGTTTTCATCGTTTTTGATTACCTGCAGCAAAATAAAACTGATTTAGTGTTAATTGTCTACTATAACACCTTCACAATCATTCCTCACACAAAAACTCTCGTCATCAGACAATTGATCTACAAAATCATCAATTGTCTGGACTGGTATTGTTGTATAAACAGACGCCTCTTCTGTCTCGAGTTCATGGTATCCTCTAGGTGGCGCCCTCATGACAACATACCAAAGTGAGCACTCATCATCTCTAGAGTAAAACACTTGTTTAGCTTGCGATGCCAGAATGAAAGGATCATTTACATATGATGACTGGTTCATATGAAGATTGACTAGTGTGAAACCATCTTCCTCTTTCACCCCATTCCCTTTGTTAGCCCAACTACAATGAAATAGTGGAACCTGGAACATGTGGTAGTCCACTAACAGGATCTCCTTTATTACTCCATAGAATGATACTATGCCTGCCAATTGTCTAGTATCTTTAGCACTAGCTCGACACATAGAAACAGCTTCGTAAGTGACTCCACTATTCTGAGTCTTCCTCTTCACATCGTCTATCTGGAACCTATGGCCGTTCACTATATATCCCTTGTAGGTTTGAGCAATGTTTCTTGGTCCAAAAGCAAGCCATCTGAGCGTACTAGAATGGTCCTTTGAGTTTGTTGGTATCTACCATGAAACAGGGGAAAAATTTATTATCATGAAACTTAATATAAATATAAAATTGAGAAAAAAGCAATTCCGATATGAAATTCTTCAAACCTTTTTTTTATCCACTGTGGGAACCTTTCTGTATGATATTTCCATAGTAGAGTTTCATTTCTTGCGCATCTTGCATCTGTAGCTTGCAGTTCTTCCAAATACATCCTAATTTCAATAAAGTTAGTCTCGTACGCAGTAAAAGTAAGTTTATAATATAAACTATATAGCGTCTAACTTATTCAACATATGGATCCATGACTGCTGTATTCATGAGAATATACTTGTGAGCTATGTCTCGCTCTTTATCTGTAAGGATCTTTTCTGTTGCTTTCTGTAATGGTCGACCTTCGAGTATGTTGCTCTGCCTCTACATCTTCATTGCGATTAACTGTTTCTTCAACTGGAACAGAATTCTGAAGGAACTCCAAACAGAATGCAATGCATTCACCAGCCAAGTAGCCCTCAGCCATACAAGCCTCTGGCCTTACAAAGTTCTTCACATATGCTTTTAGTGTATTCATATACCTACATGTGAACACAAACACTTATTATGAGTAATAGCAACATATACTATCAGTTTATAATGTAACTATAAACAAAAAGGAAACATTACCTCTCGAAAGGGTACATCCATATGAAGTGTACCGGACCACCCAAGCGTGTTTCTCTTGCTAGATGTATTGGCAGATGAAACATAATATCACACAGTGAAGGTGGAAAGTATCGCTCTAACTGGCACATCGTTTCTACAATTTCTGATTCTAAGTTTAATAGCTTCTCCGGATCAACTACACGTTGGCACAACCTATTGAAGTAATTGTAGATACGGTTCAATGCAATCCGAGGTCCTTTAGGCAGCAAACCTCTCAATGCCACAGGTAACAGATTCTGTACTAGAACATGATGGTCATGTGACTTCATACTACCAATGGTGGGAGGATCTACTGACACGCAATTTGAGATGTTGGCACAATATCCATCAGGGCCTCTGAATTTAAATAACCTTCTGCAGAATATACGTTTTTCTTCTTTTGAAAGCCAATATGTCGCCGGAGGTAAGAAAGTTCTCTTCCCACGTATATGTGAATGTAAGTTTCTTCGAATCCCAATGTCTTCTAAGTCTCTTCTTGCTTTCAAGCCATTTTTTGATTTCGCATTATGCATCAAGATTGATAATAGAGCATCAGACACATTCTTTTAACGTGCATTACATCTATATTATGCCTAACAGGCATGTCCTGTAACGTAAAACACAAGTAGATATGAGAAAGAGATTGTATTAGTTTAAAGTAAAACACATAATAACTTTTTACAGTTAAAAAGACTAACCTTCCAGTACGGTAATTAAAAAAAGATTGATCTTTTTTCCATCGCCATTGGTTATCGTCTTCTTCATACTCATCGGCTGAAGAGACATCATCTTCTTCTATTTCAATCTTTTTTCTCTTCCCATTCTTGACTAAAGGTTTACCAAATTCATTCCTAAAGTCTTTAAGGCTCTCATAGATTTCTGCTCCAGTCTGAATTCTTTTTGCAGTACCAACCTCAACTGTGTTGTCAAACACCCTTTCTTACGCCTGTAAGGATGACCAGGTCTCAAGCGCTTCCTATTGCCCATATAGACATGCTTGCGACTATACTTTAACCACCTATGAGGTGTATCCTTCCCATAGACATTACAAGCTTGCTTACCCTTCACTTTACATCCACCTAATGATCCTAAAGCCGGATAGTCAGTGACGGTCCATAGAAGCATAGCTCTTAGAGTGAAGCTCTCCTTCTTAAACGAGTCAAACACTTCAATACCTTCATTCCACAAGTCCCTTAGATCATCTATCAACGGCTGTAGATATACATCAATGTTGTTGCTTGGTGCGGTTGGTCCTGGAATTAACATTGTCAGCATGATGTTCTCTGCTTTCATACACTCAGTTGGAGCCATATTGTAATTCACTAACAGCACTGGCCTTGTGGTGTACTTGGTGGTTTGGATAGAAAACGGACTCGTCCCTTCAGTGGACAGACCTAGTCTAAGATTTCTCAGATCAGCAGCAAACTCTGGCCATTTCTCGTTGACCTGAACCCATGTCAAGGAGTCAACTAGATGCCGTATTTTACCATATGCACTAGCATTTGTGTAGTGCCAACGCAAATTCTCAGCCAACCGTTTTGATATAAACATCCTCCTAAATCTATCTTTTATAGGAAAATACATTAGCACCTTTGCTGGAATCCCTACCTTCTCATCACCGGTGTGCTTATCCTTTTCCCATCTACATTCACTACATCTTGGGCAGCTCACCAAATCCTCATATCATTCCGAAAAAGGATGCAATCATTTCTACAGGCGTGAATAGCATCATAACCAAATCCAAAAAGCTTAAAGAATCTCTTCATCTCATCTGTAGACTTAGGCAGGACGTTGAATCCAGGTAAAATGTCATGAACAAGTGTCAAAAGCTGATCAAAAAAATTCTCTGACATACCACTCTTGACCTTCATCCGATACAGTCCCATTATTGCGGATACCTTTGTGTATTTCAGACAACTCGGGTACAATGGAGTTTTTGCATCCTCTAACTTCTTCCTAAACTCAGCTTCTTCTTCAATGTCAATATCCTCAGCCTCTTCTAAAATCTGATCCTGAGATGATCGATTGCCTTCACTCGCCATAAAAGCTGTCATAATCAATTCATAAGCCTCATATTCAGAAGTTTGAACATCAGTTGGCTTGTCAGTCCTTACATCCCCGTGTTTAATTACTCCAAAATTTGCTTCTCTTGTACTTCAGATCCATCCCTCTTATCACCAGATGCTCTAACACTGTCTCATTTGGCTGATGAACCACATTGCGGCAATCAATGCAAGGAAAAACATATCTGATACATTGCCCAAACTTCGTGCTGAATCAACCACAAACTTGGTTGCTCCTTCCTCACACTCAACACAATTCCTGTAAATAATATTAAGTGTAAAATAAATCTGAGGATCCAATCTTTTTCCATAATACATCATGAATGAAATAATTGAAGCAGTGTAATAACATTCAAATTAATACCTTGGTAACCAGATCCAAGCTTTATCCATGTTGCAGTAGCTCCGACCAAATGTGCATACAAGTTGATATCAAGTGGACTAAAGTTAAGGCACATCAACAATAGAGAACGAGGTGTATGATAAGAATCGAGTCTGAGTAAGCTACCTTATAGATTGTCTTCTCTTTTAGTTAAACAGATCTACAAAAGAAAGCAAAAATATAAATCGACTACATCAAAGAAACAATTAAGTCAAAAGAAACACTTAACTCTTAACGGCATAGTACCTTTCACAGGAAAACTAAATCTGAAGCGAATAAATCTTGCAATTTAACAGAATTGAACCAATTCACTTTAACATGTAAGAACCCAGAAAATGACTACAATTTCGAAAGTGAAAATTCGATATTACCTTTGCTGCGTCAGATTTCTTTGCGAACAATGTCAATGAGTTTAAATCGACTGAAATGGGAAGCTGAATTGCAGATTTGCGGATACAAGATAAATTAAAACGAAGACTGAGATTGAATCCGTTTTTCTTCGCGAACGATGGTTGTGGTGTTTGAAATACGAAGCTCAATTGCAGAGACTGAAATGGTTAGCAAGACTTAGAATTTCCGACACGAGAGAAATGAAAAACGGAGTAAGATGAGAAACGAAGAAACGGAGTAAAAAGGAGAACACGAGATGTTAGGTCTGGGATTAGGTCCTGTGACTGAAATTGTGAAATCAAGTGGAGACTGCAAACATGGTGGGACAGGGTTCTGCTGGAACCGAGTCGGCATGCCTAGCTAACTCCAAACTTATTTCATCATACCCAGTTAAAACTTATTTTATCATATTCATGCTTGACTAATCCATTACAACACTCCTATCTGGCTTTTATAAGGAAAAACAAACAATCTATTAAGCATGCAGTTCTTTTGTTATCGCCAAATATTAGGTTCATCTAAAAGTGACAGATGAACAAATGATAACTAGGTAGCTAGGAAGCTTCAATCCAGTTTAACCAGTATGTATATGTTGCAATGCATTGGATCATTAGTTGGGCAACATCAACAAGCTTGTTGTGCAATAACTTTGTAGTCAAGGACCTTCCTACATAGAGTCAAGGACCACACAACTTGCAATATGTATCAAGTT